CGCACTCCCCTTTCTTTCTTTGCAAAGAACAGACACACACACATGCCACCCCAAACCAAGAACAGACACACACACACACACACACACACACACACACACACACACACACACACACACACACACACACACACACACGCATGCGCATCAACGTCCGCATTCCACCCCAAGCAAAGAACTGACACACACACACACACACGCATCAACATCAGCACTCCCTTTTTTTCTCTGCAAGAGCAGAGCAGGTCGCGCGCGCGTGCGCCCGGTGCGCTCCTCCTGCTCTTCCTCCTGCTTCTCCTCCTCCTCCTGCTCTTCCTCCTCCTCCTCCTCCTCCTCCTCCTCCTCCTCCTCCTCCTCTCCTCCTCCTCTCTCTTCCCCCTCCCCCTCCTCCTCCCCTCCCCTCCTCCTCCTCCTCCTCCTCCTCCTCCTCCTCCTCCTCCTCCTCCTCCTCCAGGCGTCAACGTTCCCCGAGCCGTTCCCAGCCCCCCGCCGCGCGAAGCACGGCGGCGCTCCACCAGCTCGCAGGGCACGGCGCGCCGCGGGGGCCGCGAGTCGCGAGGCGCGAGGCCACAATTCCCAAGCGTAAGCACTTGTGTCCTCCGTCCTCCTCCTCCTCCCCTCCTCCCCCTCCTCCTCCTCCTACTCCCCCTCCTCCCCCTCCTCCTCCTCCTTGTCCTCCCCCTCCTCCTCCTCCTCCTCCTCCTCCTCCTTCTCCTCCTCCTCCTCCTCCTCCTCCTCCTCCTCTTCTCCTCCTCCTCCTCCTCCTCCTCCTCCTCCTCCTCCTCCTCCTCCTCCTCCTCCTCCTCCTCCTCCTCCCTCCTCCTCCTCCTCCTCCTCCTCCTCCTCCTCCTCCTCCTCCTCCTCCTCCTCCTCCTCCTCCTCCTCCTCCTCCTCCTCCTCCTCCTCCTCCTCCTCCTCCTCCTCCTCCTCCTCCTCCCCCCTCCCCTCCCCCTCCCCCTCCCCCTCCTTCCCCTCCTCCTCCTCCTCCTCCTCCTCCTCCTCCTCCTCCTCCTCCTCCTCCTCCTCCTCCTCCTCGTTGGAGGCCGGGGACATCCCTAACCTCGGCGGCGAGCGACGGGGGGAAGTGAGAAGGAGAAGGCCTTCTCAGAAGGCGGCGGGGCCTCTCAGGCTTCCTCCGGCTTTTTGGAGGTATGCCTTGAGCCGCTGCGGGGGTATTTTGTTCGGTGCTGTCAGGTTGGGGACTCGTGGACCGTCCTCTTGGGCCGTCTTGGATTGGTTCTGGGGGCGCCTATCCTAAGCCTCCGTCGGTGCTGGGAAAACGCAAGCGGCGACGGTGGGCCACATAACCTCCGGAGGTCTTTAGTTCTAACCCTCCCTGATCTCGCGGCGGCGAAGAAGGTCCTAAAACTCCCTCACCGCAGCGGAGATCGTTTTCCCTGATTGTTGGGCGGACTTGGTAATGTTTGGGGTTATTTCTCCAGCGGAATACTCCACTGTGGGCTACCCTGCACGCGGGAGGATTTGCGAGCATTTTCTCATGAGAATTGGGTTGACTGGCTTACTTTTTGGGTCATTGCTCCAACGGAGTAATCCATCTGGGTCACCCTGCACGAGTGAGGATTTACAATCATCTTCTCATGAGGATGCACTCGGAGTTGCTTCGGTGTGATTCGCGAGTTTGCTCGAAGCGGTTTGCCTAGCACTGCTGGCAGAACTCCTGCTGGCGACTGGTCGGCGCGCGCGCGGCGATGTAAGATTACTGTCCCTCTATTGTTGGGCGGACTGGGTAATGTTTGGCGGTTATTTCTCCAACGGAATAATCTGTTGTGGGCTACCCTGAACGCGGGAGGATTTGTAAGCATCTTCCCATGAGGATTGCAATGGGAATTGCTTCGTTTTGATTTGCGAGTTTGCTCAAAGTCGTCTACCTAGCACTGCGGGCAGAACTCCTGCTGGCGCTTGGTCGGCGCGCGCGGCCAACATGACGACTATTCCGGTGCGGACGACACAGAACCTGCCATCGTTCTGTATTGTCCGCCCGACAGAAGATGAATTTGCTGAGGGCCCGCGCGGGGCCTGCGCTTCTAATGCCGCGACACCAGCGGTGCCGGCGCAGGCTTCTTGTAGAGGCATTCTCGATGTACGACTTCCAAAGGAAGAAGAGGCCGGCATTCTGCAAAGAGTGCACAGTGGTGATGAAAAACGCCAGCGAGAAGTGGTGTAAGACGCGCAACCGTTGGGCCCGCAACGCAGACGATGAGGGGCCCGCGCTGCGGGTCGGCGAGCGGGGCGGGAAAGCACGGTGCGACGACGAGAAGGGCCAAAGGATTCGGACCTTGTGTTGCGCGAAGTGCGCGCATGTGAAAGCCAAGAAGAAGTCGCACAGTGGGTATGAGAGCTGGAACGACAGCGTCCGACCACTGCGGTGTTCGAACGACGCGTGCTTGTCGTTTTTTGGACGGGTCGGCGGAATTGTCGGAAGCGCAGAGGAAGCACAACATAGCTGGGTAAAGGTTTTACCGGAATTGCGCGGAGGGAGAAAGCGGCGCGGAGAGCGAATACCAAAGCACCGTGCCGCAAGAGGAAGGCGGAGGTTGAAGCGAAGGCGCTGGCGTGCGCGGCGTGCGGGGAAGCTTCCGTGGACACGAAACATTTGAAGAAGGGGCAAGTTAAGGGTCATCGAAAATCGAAGCAGGCGCGCGTGGTGCGTGGAGACTGTAGCAAGCGTGGCAGGACCGCGAAGGCAGTGGCCGATGCGGCGAAACGGCTTGAGCGAGAATTGACGTGCGCGGCGTGCAAGAAGAAGTTTCCGCGGCAGTCACCTATAAGCGACAGACAGGAGAGTGATCATTGCACGAGGATGAGTAGAGTTGTACGCGCAAGCAGCGTGGACCTCGGCTTCACGGCGCGCAATTGGCAAGCGTACGGGTGCTTCGGCACCTGCAAGAGGAAGCTCCCGAAATCTCAGTTTGTCGTTGGACCGCATGTCGAACGCGCGCGCCAGAGGGGCACCTTGAAGTGCAAGTCGTGCACGGGAGACCCGCTGAAGCGTTGGGCAGCGCGCGAATGCTAGGAGGAGGGGACTGTGGAAGTGGAGGAGAAGGAGGCGGAGGAGGAGGAGGAGGAGGAGGAGAGGATGGAGGAGGAGGAGGAGGAAAAGGTGGAGGAGGAAAAGTGAGGATCTGGCTTGCGGGCGTGAGATTAGGCTTCCGGAGGCCGTTCGGGACGATCCCGGCACCCCCAGAAAGCATGGTTTCACTTTGGATATGGAGGCAGTGTGCGGGTACCTGGACACCGAACGAGGTCGCTCGCCCTGCAGTCCCATGCGGCTGCGGTTCCAAACGGCACCCCAACGAAAGGGACTTCGAAGACGGGCGATGCCGATTTCTCAGGTCCGTTCGGCTTCGCGCGCATGGTCGCCGCATGACGCTTTCACTCGCACTCCGAAAGATGTAACGCCGCGGGCTCAGAAGTCCCTTTCGTTGGCTGCACGTTGGGAAGCGCATCGCCATCGGCCCTGACTGGTAGGTCGACCATACCAAATCGAGGGTGCCCTGGTGTCTTTTTTCTCCCGACCTATGCAACCCGCACGTTCTGGGGGCAGCGACGTCGCCGTCGGAAGAGTGTTGTGTCCTCCCGGGTGTCCTCCCCAATCGAATCCGACTGTGTTCCACTTGTTTGGTCCTTGCCTCCCTCTCTGCTCCCTTTGTTTTCGATGTGATCGGCGCTGCCCTTTCGCGCCAACCGCCTTGTTCGTGTTGGGAAATGGCGAGCAACGAGCTCCGGAGCCTTTTTCGTTTGAAACTTTCCACAAAAACTTCGCATTCAAGGATCGAAGGAGTTGCCATCGCTTCTTCGGCGGAAGACGGCGGAAGCTCAGCGGAAGCTGGCGGAAGCATTAGTCTACCTCCCAAGAGATAGCAGCATTTGTGGGTTCAGGGTGTCCGGAACCCGCCATTTCATTCCTGCGGCGCTGCTCGATACTGGCTGTATTGCACACGATCGCCTGAAGCATCGGCAGTGTCCGCGTGGCCGCATTGCTGCGGCCTTTGGCACCCCTTTCTGGGGCTTCCCGGGCCTCCCCTGCGCCGCTCAAGACAAGGTTGGAGGCCACGGATCTGCGATCAGAGGGGCCCAGCAGGGCCAAAGGGCAGCTCGAAGATGCCCAAGACGACGCAAGACGGCCGACACGGCCCCCTGACGGCCCAGGGAGCCCGAAGAGGACTTCCCAGAGGCCCCCCGGAGACAAAATTCATAGATGTATCGAAAGGCCTGTTTTCGTTTCGCACCCTTGCCTTTCCGATCCTCAGAGGGCTCAGGACGGGCGAGGAAGCCTCCTGAGGTGGCTTCAACATGGCCCAGAACTCCCACAAGGCAGCCCCAATGCGAGCTCAAGATGGCAGAAGAGAGCCCCAAGAAGCTCCCAGATGGTTCCGTAGCCATTTGGGCTCAAGACATTTTGGCTCAAGGGCCCGTGTCAGATGAAGTTATCCGCCGCGTTAGTGTTTTTGGGCTATGTTCGGATTGATCTATGGGCAATGGGTGAATCAAGGTCTAACTCAACGGAAAGGGGTGCAAGATTGTGGCTTCATGTGGGCCCCCCAAAAACTGCTTCGACAACAATTCAGAAACAACTGAAAGCTTGGCAGACCTCTCTAACAAGTGACGGCTGGACGTGGGAGGACCCTGCGCAGTTCGGACACCTTAAGCATGTACGAATGTCTCAAATCGCGAATGTTGCAGAGTGTTATTTGTCGTCCCGGTCCACGTTCAGGGACCTCTCAGAAACAATTTGTTCAGATTGGCTGCACTATCTTGACCAGCTCAAAGGAACTTCAAGAAAGGTAGTGATGTCTAGTGAGCTTTTCGGCCAGATCAATGACACCAGTATCGCACAGCTCGCGTTTGACTTAAGCCACATCAGTACCACCATCGTGATGGTTTACCGACCATTTTACGATTGGATCGCAAGCTGGTATCGGCATCTCAAGGCTCGCGGGTAGGTTGAATTGGCCTTCGCAGATTGGCTAAGCGTTTCACAGATGGAGTACTACGCGTACAACTACTCGTTCACGGTTTCTCTACATAGTCGCTACGCCGCTCATTTTTCTGATGTAAAGGTGCACGTGATGGGCCCCGATATGATGACCGATATTGTCTGCGATGACTTCAATGCTGCGAACACGTGCGCGACGTCTAGGAAGGCCAAAGTGATGGAGCTAAACGTCAGAGCAAAATCTTCACCAGATGAATGCCTCAGTTCTCTGCAGCTGCAAACGCTGAGAACTATATCCATTGAGTTGCACCGGGCGGCGTACGGTATCTTGGCATATTCAAGTTTTCCCGCATCGGACTTCGATGCCAAGGCCAGGATTTGCTTCGGCAATCCCCTTTAGATTTTCGACCAGTCGTGGCTGCATTGGAGTTCTGAGATGGTCGTGGATCTGACGCTCACTGAAACAAAAATTATTCACTGCGTGGAGCTCCCCATATGTGCATCTACTCGCATGGACCTGTCCGCCGTGAATGTCTAGGCGCAAGAGCTTTCGAATATTAACGGGCTTCAGTTGTGACGGTCTGGACATCAATCTAACTGCGAATGAATTGGAGTGTGAATGAGCCTCAGTAGTACGAGCGCGTCTCTGTGCATGAGCCTGGGGCCTCCTGGGGCCTCCTGAAACCTACTGGGGCTTCCTGGGGTCTCCAGGAGCCTCTTGGGACCTCCTGGGACCTCCTAGGAAGGTTTCGTGCCCCAGGGGAGGCGCAATCTATAGCAACAGACGTACATAAAACATTGCGGATTAGAGCCACAGGAGAAGGGCAATCTATAGGAACACGCGTAAAACACCAAGGACTCGTGCCCCAGGAGAGGCCCAATACATAGGAACATGAGTAAAACATTTAGGATTGTGTACACAGGAGAAGGACCATCTATAGAAACATACGTAGAACATCAAAGAATCGTGCTCCAGGTGAGGCCCAATCGATAGGAGCATACGTAAAACACATGGGATTGGAGCCACTCCTGTTGCCTTCTGAGGCCTCCTGCTCCTGGGGCCTCTCGGGGCCTCCTGTTGCCTTCCGAGGCCTCCTGGCGCTTCCTGTTGTCTCCTGGGGTCTCCTGTGGTTTCCTGAGGCCTTCTGGAGCTTCCTGGGGCCTCCTGGCGCCTCTTGGGACATCCTGTGGCCTCTTGAGTCTTTCTGTGGCCTCCTGATGCCTCCTGGGACCTCATGTGGTCTCCTGGAGCCTCCTGGAGCCTGTTGGAGCCTCCTGTGGCATCCTGAGAAGAATCTGCGCCCACGAGCCTGGCCACCAAAACAAGCAAACCGATCGAGACATCCTCAAAATCTGGCCCACCTGGGGGGTGAAAATGAGCGCCTCGCTCGAGACATCCTCCAAATCTGCTCCGAAAGCGAAGGATGTTGGGCACAGAAACAGGCAAACCGCCTGAGACATCCCCACAAAATGGCCGCGAACGAGCCCGTGCAACCACCCCTGGCGGCTCCCCTTAGGGGTGCTGAAATGAGCGCCTCGCTCGAGACATCCTCCAAATCTGCTCCGAAAGCGAAGGATGTTGGGCACAGAAACAGGCAAACCGCCTGAGACATCCCCACAAAATGGCCGCGAACGAGCCCGTGCAACCACCCCTGGCGGCTCCCCTTAGGGGTGCTGAAATGAGCGCCTCGCTCGAGACATCCTCCAAATCTGCTCCGAAAGCGAAGGATGTTGGGCCCAGAAACAGGCAAACCGCCTGAGACATCCCCACAAAATGGCCGCGAACGAGCCCGTGCAACCACCCCTGGCGGCTCCCCTTAGGGGTGCTGAAATGAGCGCCTCGCTCGAGACATCCTCCAAATCTGCTCCGAAAGCGAAGGATGTTGGGCACAGAAACAGGCAAACCGCCTGAGACATCCCCACAAAATGGCCGCGAACGAGCCCGTGCAACCACCCCTGGCGGCTCCCCTTAGGGGTGCTGAAATGAGCGCCTCGCTCGAGACATCCTCCAAATCTGCTCCGAAAGCGAAGGATGTTGGGCACAGAAACAGGCAAACCGCCTGAGACATCCCCACAAAATGGCCGCGAACGAGCCCGTGCAACCACCCCTGGCGGCTCCCCTTAGGGGTGCTGAGTATGAGTAAGTCTGTGTATGAGTAAGTCTGTGTATGTGTACGTCTGGGTATGACTAATACTGTGTATGAGTAAGTCTGTGTATGAGTAAGTCTGTATATGAGTATGTCTGAGTGTGAGTAAGTCTGAGTATGAGTAGGTCTGAGTATGAGTAAGTCTGAGTATGAGTAAGTCTGTGTATGAGCAAGTCTGAGTATGTCCGACAGGAGGGGACGAGAAAAGAGGAGGAGGAAGAAGGAGGAGGAGGAGTAGGAGGCGTCCAAGTAATAACAAGAACCCCATCTTAGGATATGGGGAACAAAAAAAATATTCACTGCGTGGAGCTCCCCATATGTGCATCTACTCGCATGGACCTGTCCGCCGTGAATGTCTAGGCGCAAGAGCTTTCGAATATTAACGGGCTTCAGTTGTGACGGTCTGGACATCAATCTAACTGCGAATGAATTGGAGTGTGAATGAGCCTCAGTAGTACGAGCGCGTCTCTGTGCATGAGCCTGGGGCCTCCTGGGGCCTCCTGAAACCTACTGGGGCTTCCTGGGGTCTCCAGGAGTCTCTTGGGACCTCCTGGGACCTCCTAGGAAGGTTTCGTGCCCCAGGGGAGGCGCAATCTATAGCAACAGACGTACATAAAACATTGCGGATTAGAGCCACAGGAGAAGGGCAATCTATACCCGTTTCCCTCGGGGCCCGCCTGCCCCCCGAGCTCAGGCGGCCCTGCCCGCTCCTCCTCCCTCTCCTGCGACTCGAGTGTTTCGCCGGGAGCATGTCTGAGACCTCCCCCCTGGCTCACCCCCTCCCCCTCCCCGGCGCGCGCATCCGTCCCCTTCCCGAGCTTCTCTGGGTGGCCAGACGCCTACCTGGCCGTCTCCACGGCCTCCAGGACGCCCAAGATAACATCCAAGGCGGCGCTCGAGAAAGTAAGCTTCCCCAAAGGCCTTGGGGACGACTGGAGAGGCATCTAAAGGCCCTGACAGAGGCCCCGAGAAGTCCTGCGAGAGGGCCAAGACACAAAACCATGGGAGACCTTTTTCCATTTCCAAGACGCTGCTTTCCAACACGCTGCTTGCTGCGTGTGCGCGCGCGTGTCCACCAGCCTTAGCTCTCAGCCCCCCTAGCGGCCGACGGCCGGGCGCGGCTCGCCGGGCGGCCTTGTGCACGCCGCCGACCTCGGGCGCAATGTGGTTCTGCTGTTCGGGCGCAGACAACGTCACCACCGACGACGTGTTCGAGCTCGAGAAGGAAAGCGTTTTTGTTATCCCATGGTGATAACGACCACGAAGAGGAGCAGGAGCAGGAGCAGGATGGAAAGCAGGGAGGAGGAGGCGGAGGGGGAGGAGGAGGAGGAGGAGGAGGGAGGAGGAGGAGGAGAGGAGGAGAGGAGGAGGAGGAGGAGGAGGAAGAGGAGGGGAGAGAGGAGGAGGAGGAGGAGGAGGAGAGGGGAGAGAGAGGAGGAGGAGGGGAGGAGGAGGAGACGGAGGAGGAGGAGGAGGAGGAGGAGCAGAGAGGAGGTGGAGGAGGAGAAGGAGGAGAGGAGGGAGGAGGAGGAGAGGAGGAGGAGGAGGAGGAGGAGGAGGGGGAGGAGGAGGAGGAGGGGATGAGGACCAGGGGGAGGACCATGGGCGAGTTTCTTCCCAGACAAGAGAAACAGGGGGGCTCTTAAAACTAAAGACCTCCCGAGGTCTACGGGCGTGACTGGGAGAGGGGCGGGGGGAGGTTGGAGGCCTTGAGACGGAGGTCGATGCAAACGGGGGTCGGCCAGAACGCTGGATCTCTTGCGGGCTCCCGCAGAGCCAGGGCTGGCTTGACCCGGGCGCTGCCGCGGATCATAAGAAGATGAGAGCGGGCTAGAGAGGCGCTGCCGCCCTCGGTGCGCAACCTCGTCGTCTCCAACCACGAGGGGCTCTACTACAACATCGAGGCCGGCGCTTTCCTGAAGTCCACCGCCAAGGCACGAAGTAGACGAGAAAGAAGCAGCAGAAGAAGAAGGAAGAAGAAGAAGAAGAAGAAGAGAAAATCACGACGGAAGGTGCTTCCCTCTTTTGGGCCTCTGGGGGCCCTTCCCGCGCCTCGGGACCGTCAAAAGTGGCTCGGGATGAAAAAACGGTACCCGGGGAGGGGTCCAGACTTTCTGGGGGTCCACGCTACGTATTAAGAGATCGTGACGTCGGGTTCTCTCAGGAGCCAACCCTTCCGTCAGGAACACAGCACGTCATGACCATCCATTTCGTGCCTCGGCGCTGGGCCCCTGGGTGGCGCCTCCGGCGCCGCCCCTGGCGCGCTCCGCGCGCCAGGGAAGGGTGTCCAGCGCCGATTCACGATCACGAAGTCCGCGCGGGCCTCCAAACGTTTAGGCGGCGCGTTCCAACAAGGGCCTTGCCTGCGAGGGTCGAAGGAGTGGTCATCTCTGCCTCGGCGGAAGAGCGGCGGAAGGCTGGCGGACGTGAGACGAGGCCGCCTCCGACAACGGAAGCTGGCGGAAGGGCGGCGGAAGGCTGGCGGGAGTAAAGAATGCGCCCCCAAGAGACGACAACATTTTCGGGTTCGGGGTTTCCGGAATCCGCCATCTGTGTGCTGCTTTCTCTTCCTCCACAGGCGCTGCTCGATGCCTTCAGGTTGCCCTGGGTTTCTTGGGTTTCGATGGTCTTGCGATGGAAAGCGTGACGCTCCCACACCAAGAATCAATGGACGTCCTGGGGTCTCAGGGTTGGGTTTCTTTTGGATGGTTGCTTGTGGTCGAGCTCCTACTATATGCTGCTTTGTCTTCCTCCGCTCGGCGGCGAGCGAGGGGGTAAAGTGAGACGGGGAATTCCTTCTCAGAAGGCTCGGAAGTCCCCCGGCCTTCTGAGAAGCTTGCTAAGCCTTCCCCGAAGACAGACAGAACTTCTCGGAAGGCGCGCAGGCTTCTGAGAAGTCCCGCCGCCTTCTGAGAAGGCCTTCTCCTTCTCGTTCCCCCCCCCTCGCTCGCCGCCGATCCACAGGCGCTGCTCGATGCGATGAAGGGCCTGGGCACCTCGGAGGCGGCCCTGATCCGCGCGCTCGTGTACACGGGGCCGGCCTTCAAGAACGACCTGCGGGCGGTGTTCGAGAAGGAGCGCCTGCTCCGGCAGGGGAGGGCGAGCAGCACGGGTGGGGCGCTCCGGCTGTCGGCGCCGGCCCGCGACGTCCGCGCGGGCCTCCAAAGACGTCTGCGCGGCGCGCTCTGAGGAGGGCCTCGCCCTCGAGGGTCGGAGGAGTGCTCATCTCTGTTTGGCGGCGCGCCAAAGGGGG